CGCAACATGGTCATATTGGTAGGAAGACTAATTGGAACGCACCTCGTCCGGGGTCCATTGTCTGCATGATATTTCCAAATTTGATTCGTGGACGTGGAACATTCCCAAACGTTTCGCCGGCATCGTAGTCAGCATCGTCAGTGAGTATCGCCATCCTAAGCACCATACAGCTACTCGTCAAATAGACAAGTGAAGCCGATCCTTTGACCAAACGTATGTTAAACAAATATGGTATCTCCCCTTCCGCCCTGGGTTATCCGCGTTTCCGGTAGGAACTACTTATGCTTGATTGATAGATTGAAGGAGAGAGAGTGTGTTGAGCCGCCGTCCAAAAGAAGGCGATTCAACTGATCTGCTCAGTGATGCTTCTAACTTTACTCGCACTCGTCCAACAAGTTAGCTTTGGCTCATCAACCAAACCAGACGTACCAGATTACGCAGCCCGTCATGCCTTTCCTTGGGGGGTTAAACATTAATGACCATAGACTGAGAGGTGAGGGCAAGTGGTTTCGTAACTTGACTTACATTCTTACAAGCTCATATCTCATTACCTCAGCCACTCTTGCCTACAGACTTAAGCAGTCTCGGTCAGAGGTTTCTCTTGGGTCATTAGGTCTTGATTATCAAAGCCTGACATTAGCCTTTTGATAGCTGATTTAGTACCGATATTGCTTATAGACGCTAACACACATACACACACGTACACACTCGAGCAAAAGTAGCAGGACCAGTATGAAAGATAATTAGCCAAATCACTCTATATCTATCTAGGTTTTTTGTTCTTTTGCTTAATTAAATCTATATAAGAGGTAAGATAGAGCCGGATAGTCTTCTTGTCATAGTGTTAACGTGAGACTTTTACATGACTGAGACCTAGCTCTGATGATGTCTATCATGATGGACGAAAGCTGAGCCCGTTTTCACCCGAAACGAGAAATATCTCGTGTACTGCGTCAACCTGAACGTCGTATAAAAGCCAAGCGACTGCAGTACAATAGGATTCAGCCGTCCTCTTCTAGCGAGATCGACCTACGAATCTCTTCTTCATGCACTTTCATACGAAATGAAAGTCCCCCCAACAATGTTATCTCAGGTGTTCATCGAAACCCAGTTTCTCTTCGTAGCGAATATCAGACAGCGATCAAGCTATTCGGACG